TGGTGGTATTTGATTGCCTGTGCGGTTTTTTTTTTTTTTTTTTTTGCACTAAAAACAAAAAAGACCAACAATTTTGAGAAAGAAAAACAATATTTCTGACTTTTTGCTATTAAACATGTCCAGTAAAAAAATTTAACCTCTTGCCTCCAGAGGATTTACCCCCTTTCCTGACCAGGCCATTTTTTGCGTTTTAAAGTGCTGTGTTATTTTAACTGACAATTGCGCTGTCATGCAACAGCTCACCCAAACAAAAATTTACATCCTTTTTTCCCACAAATAGAGCTTTCTTTTGGTGGTATTTGTTCGCCAGTGCAGTTTTTATTTTTTGCGCTATAAAAAAAAAGTCTTGACAGTTTTGAAAAAAAAAAAAAAAACAATATTTTTGACTTTTTGCTATTAAACATGACCAGTACAAAAAAAAAAAAAAAAAAAAATTTTCCTCATATATTTAGGCCAAAATATATTCTGCTACATGTCTTTGCTAAAAAAAAATCCCAATACGTGTAAATTTTTTTATTTTTACTAGTAATGGCAGCAATCCGACCAGCGACTTATAGTGGGACTGCGGGCGGGACTGCTGGCATTCTGACACTGGGGGGAACTAGCTAACTACCACTGACATCCTTCACTGTAGCACACTGCTTTGCATGGCTTTGCTCGTGTGTGCCCCCCTACCCTGAAATGCAAAATCATGTGTATATATACGTGATTTTGCACACCCATGCTGCCCTGTAGCAGTATTAAAAAATCAAATTTCATCATAAATTTAGGCCAAAATGTATTCTGCTACATGTTTTTGCTCAAAAAAATTCCAATACGTGTAAATTTGTTTACTTGAAAATCATAGCGTCTACAAATGGCGATATATATACACTGTTTTTTTTTTTTTTTTAATACTAGTAATAACGGTGATCAGTGACTCATACCGGGACTCCAGTGGGCATTCTGACACTGGGGGGGGGGGGGGGGGGGGGGGGAACTGACTAACTGCCACTGACATCCCCAGTGACACCAATACAGTGATCAGTAGTAATAAAAAGCACTAACACTGTACTAATGACACTGGACAGGAAGGGGTTAACATCTGGGGCAATCAAAGGGTTAACTGTCTACTGTGTGTGTTTCACTATGTCAGCACATTGCTTTGTATGGCTCTGCTATGCAGAGCCATACAAAGCAGTGTGCTGCAGCTGATACTCAGTGATCAAGGGGTGCTGGCAGGGAATCACCAGCCGGGACCCACTGATCGACAGCAGAGGCCACCAACTGCAGTGAGGGCAGGGCGCATGCGCGCCCTTTACCCAGAACTGCAAAATCATGTATATATATACACATGGTTTTGCACAGCCCTGCCACCCTGTAGCAGTATTTTTGCTATAGGGCGGCGGGAAAGCGGTTAATGTTCATCCACCCCATTCTCAGGCAGTATACTAATCCTCTTAGGCAATGCAAAAACACAAAAAGCTCCCCATAGTGTTATACCAATAAAATCACTTCATTAAGTTCCATAGAACAACATCTTGCACTTATATCTTCTGGTGCTTTGGTATGCATATCACATGGAAACTAGAAATTTCGTAAACTTCTGGTTACATTATGTCAATGTTTGTATTTATTGATTTCTAATACTGTACATACAACAAATACTTACCATTTCCGGCAAGGTTGATTCTCTGCAGTATTTTGTGTTTACACCAATATATTAGTAGTTGTATGTACACAAGGCTTTGTTTATTCAGCAAATATTTCTTGTTTACTATGTAAGCAAACCGTTTAGTAGCTGTAAGACCATTCTACTCTATGAATCCAAGGCTGATGATGGAGTGCTGTGAAAGGTTGAATGTACTTTAACCACAATATTGTCACCAGGATAGAAAAGTATTGTTCATGGATTAGCAGAATTATATTGTTGAGTCTTTTGAAAAAGACTGATTAAAGCATCATACCTCAGGCATTGCAGAATCTCAGAATGTGTAAGTTAAAGCAACAATTTTTTAGAATTATATCAAATGGTGAGGGGTAGAGATGAGCAGGGGCGGACTGACCATTTGGGCTCTCGGGCACTCGATGCACTTCCGGTCTGCCGTCCATACGTCCTACGTCACTTCCGGTGAGTCGAGCGCACGCTGAGCGGTGCGTTCCAAGCGGCCATCTTTGTTGTTGGAGTTGTGTGTTCATTATCCTCTGCAAACCAACAGGCTGTGAGGTCTCTGGATTGGAGTGTGGTCATATGGATTTTGTGATAGCCTAATGGAGGCAATTAAACCAATGTTTTTTTATCATTCTTTAACATGTGAGTGGCCTGGTATTATTTTATAATACTACACATGGTATTAGCAATATCACACTATGGTATATATATTTTTTTTCTCTCTTGTACCGCTGTGGAGTTCATATGAGGAGTGAGTGGAATCACCAAGCCTTGCGAAGCGGATAAGGAGTTCTGGAGGATATAGAGGGGGTTCAGGATCCCTTAAATTCTAAAAGGCGCAAAACTCACCAACATTGGTGAGTGCGGTTGATTTTGATTTCACACTGGTGGATGGTGGAAGCACTTTTTATTTGGGAGAAGATATTTATATCAAAATTTTTTTTGGGATGAAAGGACTTTTGTAAAAATATTTTTTGTGGACACAAGTATTTATTTAGGTTTTTTTGGACACTATATCAAATTAGTTATTTCACAATATTTATAAGTGATTTATATCTTATATTGAATGAGAAGTTTTTTTTTTTTATTTGCGCTGTTTATATATTATTTTTTATTTTGGTGTATTACCCTGGTGCACAGCAGCAAATTTTCACCCATATTATATACTGAAAGGGTTTCTTTGTGCGCTGGGGTTTCTGTGATATAATTAATAATTTGTACTGTTAAAGTGGAAAAAAAGTTACACTAACTATTCTTAAAAATGTTTCCTCCCCCTTTTCATACCTATCCTGCATACCCTGTGTAAAATAGATCTGTGTACTTACCTCTTTTAAAACCGGTCTGGTCATGTGATACTGTAATCTGCCTTCCCTGTGTAAGAGAGTGCATGACAATGGCTGTGAATTCCCAGAGCCATGAATTCACCCATAGGCTCCATGGCCCAGCTGTTGTCAGCTCTCCCACCTTTCCCCTGCACCCGCAGCTTTCTGAAACAGTTGAGCTAGAGCTGCAAGATCACATGGTGGGACCAGAGTGGATTAAAATGAAGCACATAGATCTTTTTTATACCGGGTATGCTAGATGGGTAGGAGGAGGGAGGAGCGAACGTTTTTAAGAGTAGTTAATGTGTTAGGCTGAGTATACAATAGAAGAATTTATTATGAAAATTTGTATGAAAATTCTCAGAACATTTGAAAGTCGTTCAAAAGTAGTTCAATATTTTGTTTGATTTTAAGATTCGATTTTGGAAAACAAATGTTGATTGGACCCTTCTAATGATTAGAAAAACATTCTTTCAACAAAAAAAAGCTTTAGGTTTTTCTTCAACTTTATTTTCTATTCTTGCCTTAGGGCCTCCTACCATGTACGATGTTATGTTGAGTGTAACATAAAGATTATGTACTATCTTTGTACCTATGTTTTGTAACCTGTAAATTGTTGACATCCCAATAAATACTATTGAAAAAAAAAAAGCTGTTTATACCCTTTTTGGATAAATATCTTCTTAGTTTCTGACCACAAAGTAGAAAATAGTGAATCTTCCCAATAATGACAGAGAGTACTTATAGTAACACTTAGCTCTTTCCTACTGTAAAAAAATAAAATGGGTTTATATCTAATATGGGAAAACATTTTCATGAGCATTGTTATTATTCATAGAGATTATTAATAAAGGACTTAATTATTACTATTGGCAATGTCCATTGTACACAGGGGACACTATACTAGAGCACCAAGTGCTGATTATAGCTTCTGAGCTTGTATGTTGGACTCTCAGTGATGCATTCTACTGACTAATGTAGGTCATAGTCCCAGTCTAAGCTGCTGTCATTTTTCTCTCCACTGAGAAAATAGTTGCAGCTGTTCTATGCCCATTATCCTTCTTCAAAGACTGTAAATTGTATTTTCTGCAGGTATAACTTGTGCTTTGTGTTGACCTTTAAAAAATTAATTACTTCTGACAGATTGACATTTTCAACAACAAAAATGAATTAACTAATGTCGCTTATAATCATTGAACAAGAAGATTTAATGTAGCAGAAATATTGAGGTGACTGAGTGCACTTATCACAGCATTCATCTATACCTACAGGGGGTGCAAATGTGCCCAAGTTAAACTGCCCCCCTTACCAGATATGTAATCAAATGTTGTTCTATATAGAGTAGAGCAGCATCTCCCTAATCTACAACATATTTAAATGTCATATTATATATTTCATGCATGTGAATATTGCTTGTGGATATTAGAATGTATTCAGGCTTTAAACATACATATATCTCATGGACTTCTTAAAAGTGTCACTAAACCGACATCATAAACAAATCAATAAATGCTGTGTCACATGCTAATCATACTCATTCACTATGGTATTTGTTTGCTGTATTCTGCATAAAACCTGGTTGATCCTGCTTTTCTCTATCTCCCCATTCTGTCTATGCCCCCAATGCAGTTGTGGATTTTGCAGGGCAGTGTTGGCAGCTAGTGCACATGTTCAGTTTTCAGTGAATTTCTATCCTGAGCATTTCCTCCCTATCACATCTGAGCAGCCCATGTAACTATAGTCACACATCAGGCGTATATACATTGGTAAATGACAGCCACTCCCTCCCTCCTCCTCCATGCCCACTATGGAGGTGAGATATTACATCTTAATTTATGGAGACTTCACCTCCCTGTTATTCCAAGGCAAAGACTGGAGGGGTGTGACTGACAGATATACGCCCACACCATGTTATTACCAAAAAAATAATAAAGATTTAATTTCAAATATACCAAAAGTATTGGGACACCCCTCCGAATCATTGGATTCAGGTATTCCAATCACCTCTATGGCCACAGGTGTATAAAATCAAGCACCTAGGCATGCAGACTGCTTCTACAAACATTTGTGTAAGAATGGGTCTCTCTCAGGAGCTTAATGAATTCAAGCATGGTACCGTGATAGGTTGCCACCTGTGCAATAAGTCCATCCATGAAATCTCCTTGCTACTAAATATTCCACAGTCAAGTGTTAGTGGTATTATAACAAAGGGGAAGCAACTGGGAACAGCAACTCAGCCACAAAGTGGTAAGCCATGTAAAATGACAGAGTGGGGTCAGCACATGCTGAAGTGCACAATGCACAGAAGTCACCAATTATCTGCAGAGTCAATAGCTAAAGACCTCCAAACTTTGCGTGGCCTTCAGATTAGCACGACGACAGTGTGTAGAGAGCTTCATGGAATGGGTTTCCATGGCCGAGCAGCTGCAATCAAGCCTTATATCACCAAGTGCAATGCAAAGCGCCATGCCGCCACTATATTCTAGAGCAGTGGAAACGTATTCTCTGGGGTGATGAATCACGCTTCTCTATCTGGCAATCCAATGGACATGTCTGGGTTTGTCAGCTGCCAGGAGAACGGTGCTTGCCTGACTGTATTGTGCCAAGTGTAAAGTTTGGTGGAGGGGGGATTATGGCGTGGGGTTGTTTTTCAGGGGTTGGGCTTGGACACCTTAGTTCCAGTGAAGGGAACTCCTAAGGCATCAGCATATCAAGACATTTTGGACAATTTCATGCTCCCAACTTTGTGAGAACAGTTTGGGGATTTCCCCTCCCTGTTCCATCAATTAAGGTCTATAACGTCATGAATGAGCGAGTTTGGGGTGGAGGAACTTGACTGGCCCGCACAGAGTCCTGACCTCAACCCAATAGAACATCTATGAGATGAATTAGAACGGAGACTGTAAGCCAGGCCTTCTCGTCAGACATCAGTGCCTGACCTCACAAATGCGCTTCTGGAAGAATGGTCAGACATTCCAATAGACACCCTGCTAAACCTTGTGGACAACCTGCCCAGAACAGTTGAAGCTGTTATAGCTGCAAAGGTGGGCCAACTCAATATTGAACCCTACGGACTAAGACTGGGATGCCATTAAAGTTCAGGTTCATGTAAAGGCAGGCGTCTCAATACTTTTGGCAATCTAGTGTATGTATGACAATTTGAATCCATTTATTAATATTAATTATTTTTACGCTGTATCCCAAAAGCTGTTTTTTTTTTAATTTATTTTGAATATGTGACCATCAGCAGAGAACTAGAGGCTCCTCCTGCCACTGTTTCACTGCAGACAGACTGGGAAAGATCTTGGTCATGTGACAGCTGTATATTGATTAGAAAAAACAGGTGCTTAGATTTTTTTTTTAAATAAAATAATTACAGTGCCAACATCCACATACATTAAGAGAAGGGTTAATGTAAATTAAACATTGTGTGTTTAATATCACTTTACATCTATAGCATGTTGTGCTAAATGTAAGCCACTTCAGCTGTGTCTAAATGTTCATCATGCCATGATTTGTGCTGTAGCTTTGCTGTTATCTCTAAGGCAGCCATACAGCAATTGAAATTCAGCCAGAACAGCAGGGCCTGGCTGAATTTCAATCCATGTATGGGCACTGAGGTTGTACAGAAGTCGATCCACCAATACACCTCTGTACAACTGGCCTATCGGATTTTCTCCACTCGATCAGTGCTGCCTGCAATGCTGATCAGTGCATGTTGACGGTGGGGAATCTCAGACGGCGAAGTAGCTCAGTGGGGAGGATTCCCCCATTCACATTGAATGTGTGCATGGGGTCATCTAGTCAGTTTTATTTCTTCAACCCACTAGTTGAATGAAAACTGATTCTTCTATGGGCTGCTTTAATCAATTAACATGCTGACAGGAGTGGCTATTATAGCTTCAAGACATCTCAGTCTGCTAGAGATGACTAAGGGAGCCCCAAAGCTAACATCAACAAATGGGCCTATGATATGTTATTCATTATAAGGTGAGTTAGCTCCACTTATCTTATAATATTTTCTTACAATAAATGTTTATAATTGCACTTTTGCATGCAATCAAATTTCAGTACAGATAGAACATTGGAAGGTGAAAATCTGTAAATGTTAGCTGATCTAAAAACACAGATTTTAGTTTGACATTGCCTTTAAATAGCTCTGTCCTTACTCTGTTATAACAGATGTCAGCCAAGTAGGAGGATGTTTGTGCTAACAGAATAACCACCAAATTCAATCTGAAGATATTTTTGTCAGTGAATTATATTTTTCCTTTTATATTATCAGAGCTTCACTATGAAAAATGTGACTGACTATGCCATCTACTGACAAATGACATTGTAAAACCTATCATAAAAAACAAATACCCTCATGGGTATTTATTTACACTTTATAAATAGTAATAATAATTATGTTTTATAATACTGTATTTTTATGTTCACCAATTTTTCTACTTAAAGCGGAACTAAACTGTATCTGAGTAACACAATCCAAAAACACTATTTAACTCATTTTAATTTTGAAATTAAACTGACCCATCCATCTGTGTCTCCATGCGATATTGTGCTGAGAAATCACTTTTAAAATTTCCCTCCCTAGCATTTCTTTTACATTTCTTCAGTTACTTCCTTGTTTCTAGCCTAAGTAAACAAAAAAGGTAAAACACGTAAATATGATATACCTTGCCTTGTATTTTTCTAATGCTAGCAGCATATGGATTAAAAATAGTTGATGTTGATTGAGAGAGTGAAAGTCTGCTTTAACTCAGATGATGATTAGTCCTATCACTTGTCAGGAGGGTTAAATCCCTACTCCATACTGCCTCCCTACTGCCACATGACTGCCTGTCCCCCAGCCTAAAGAGGAGTTCCACTGAAAAGTGAAAGCTCCATTTATTTGCCTCCCCCCCCCCCCCCACTGCGATATTTGGTACCTTTTGGGGGGGAGGGGGAGCGGGAACCTAGTTTACACAGGCTCCTACTATCCGGCTCAGTTCGCCACGGCAAAGTGACCCAGACGTTCAGGCCCCTCCTTGCTCCCACAGTCTCCTGTGAACTTTCACAGGTCCCAGGAGACTGCCAGACCAATCAGAAAGCGTGGCGCAATTCGGCATGCACAGTAGGCACCAAGCCTTGAAGCTGCAAGCTGTCACAGCCTGGTGCTCACATAGAGATGCCGCTGCCGTGGAGGACAGAAGGAGAGAAGGGACTGCGTGGGTGAGTACAACAGTGAACCCTGGGACAGGTGAGTGTATGTTTTTAAAAGTCAGCAGCTACAGTATTTGTAGCTGTTGACTTTTAATAAACACAAAAATGGCTGGAACTCCACTTTAACCCATGAGACAAGTCCTCTTTCCTGAGAATCCTCCTTCTCACTGGCTTCCAGTCCTGGGATTTAAATTGAACCTGCAAGTACTCAGGACTAAACACTAATGAGTTTGATGAATCAGCCAATCACAAGTGGGGGGGGGGGCCTGCATGGTGCAGTGTGAAGGTGTACACTCACATCGGAATAGATGGAGGTGCAGGTAGCTACGCTGAAGTGAGTGGCTGTTCACTGACCACAGAAGCTGCACAAAGCCAGGGGTGGACTGAGCATTTGGAAACTCTGCACTGCCCGAGGGCCCGGGGTCAGTAGGGGGCCCCATGAGATGCCCCTGGTACCTTTTTCATAGACTTTTTTGAGTTTGGGCAAGGACACAGGGGCCCCATGAGTTGTCAGTCCACCCCTGCACAAAGCCACCCAAATTTAGAGTGCAGAGAGTGACCACAAAATGTAATAGAAACACACGGCTATACTGTTTTACCCCTTTTCATGCCATGACATTTACTGTACAACATCGTAATGCATTTCTACCTTTGGTAAGGGGCAGAAGTATTGGATATATTATTTATTTAGCACTTATTGTATTCATGGAAAAATGTAATAAATCTGTGCAGCAATGGTTGTCAAAGTTAGTGATAAAAATCTGATGTGAAAATATATCTGGCATTAAAACAAACGATCACACATTATCAAGGTTTTCTCCTCCTCAACACAGTAAACAAGCCAGCATTACTTATTACATGAATTATAAAGAAGTCCAAAGAAAGCAGAAAATGGGAATGCACAGACTTTAAAACATGAAAGATAATTAAAAAAAAAAAATACAATGTTGTCACATGGGAAAAACATGGTACCCAATGTTAACCATGATGATAGCACAGGAAGTAATCTTCCTTATATTTCACTCTGTATGGAGGAGCAATGGAGACACTTTTGCACAGTGGCTCTGTTAGTCTGGGAACAGGGTAATGTGATGCCATAAATGGATCAGTTTTTTTTTTATCAGACAGCATCATCCGTTAATGTCCGTATCTGTTAACATCCATTTTTTGGAACGGAAGAAAACCCTATTTTTTTCTTCCATTAAAAAAATTAAACGGATAAAAAATGGATGTAAACGGGTGAAAATGGCCGAAAACGGATGAAAAACATGTAAAACGGATGTAAATGGACAAAAAAAAAAACTATGAAAAATGGATGTAAACTGATGAAAATCTGATGTAAACTGATCCGTTTTTTCTTTGAACAAATGTGACTGAACTGATTAAAAAAATGGAATGCCCATGTGAAAGGCCCCTAAGATGGACTTGACTATCAAATTAACCACTTCACCTCTCACACCTGTTCACCCCCTATGGACAAGACCAATTTCTGCTATGGACCTGTTCATTCAGCAGTAACTTTGTCATTACTAAAGATAACAAGGTAATACATACATTGTTTACTTGAGGACAAACAAGGCTTTCTTTTCATGATATCGTCTAGCAGCATTTATTTTTTTCACAATCCTTAGCCCTGGTTCACACCAGTGTGACCAGATGTACAATTTGAGAGTTCAAAGTTGCATGACAAGTCACCCTCATTAGTGGCAATAGAACCATTCAAATTTGTGTGACTCAAGTTGCAGTGACTTTGAAAAAGGCTCCTGCACTATTTTTGTGTGACTCCATTGACATCTGTTAAATGACGTCACTCAAAGTAGCTCATTTTTTTTTTTTTTTTTTTTGAACAATGTTAGTTTAGAAATCAATAATGTTACTGCCCATAAAAAAGTGTGCATTTTATTTCTGTAATTTGTCTTGTTCAAAATTACACTAAAATTATGATATACAAAAATATGTTTAAATATTAATAGGTGATAAAATAGAAACAAACAAAAAATTCAGCAGGAAATTAAAAGTTGAAGGGAGAAGGAGAATAGGGAGTTAATTAAGGCTGATTAGAGTGAACTAAGTAACCCTTAAGGGGTTAAACAAATTGCTTTAACTGACATAATTTACAGATCTAAGTTCATTCTTTTGATCTGCAGATGAAGGAGCAGAAATATACAAAAGTAACATAAGGTTACCTTATATCTTTCTATATTCCTTCTGAGAAAGTCTTATTTATACACACACTGATTCCAGGTTGGTTCTCACCAGATGTAGTCTAGTGGGTGGTGGGGGGGGTTTCTGCATCAAAAATGCATACATGGTGTTTTCATTGTACTCCAATGGACCTAGTTCACACCAGTGCAGTCAGTTCTAGTCTTGTTTCCTGTGCATAATCAAAAAGTAGAACATGCTGCATTTTTT